GAACAAGAAGGCAACAGAGACATAAGAGTTAGACAGGTTCGGGCCATCTACACGACGTAATACCCTACCCCTGTGGTCTGTTGATTTGTATTGGCTATCATATGATATTGCATGTGTTTTGAAGGGTCCCCTACCCGCCTTATATAACCAGAGGGTAGGGTTACAAGTCGGTTAGATCTTGGAGATAACCGGTAAATAATAACATATTACAAGAATCACGGGATCGAGCATATCCTAATAGATCTCGTAGCGTCTTTAGGATATCGCCCTTGATGTCTTGCGGTACACGCCAAGCAATACCGTGCACCGTAAGTCTTCGTCTTGTGGGCTGAAGCACCCCTGGCGGCGCAGCCCATATAGTCTGCCGTGGGTATCCGGGGTCGTACCCCCCACAACACTAGTGAGAGAATTTCAATTTATCACACAGAATGTGAAGACCAACCTTAAAGAAATCATGAAAAAACATACCTCCATCTAGCTTGGATCTAGAACCTCTTCCTCCCTAGTACACAAACAACATCCTCACCAAGGATGCGTGTTAGAGTTTGCATTCCTTGATTTCTTTTCCTTTGCTAGTTAAGGACTTGGGCTGTGCTAAATGACCCTGCTGCCCACAACTTTGTGGACTATTTGATTTTGTTTATCTGGCCATGATATTGTCTGTGTCTTCCTTTGATATTGCTAAAATAAGAATTGACTGCAATCCAAAAAAAAATTCAAACATGTGTTACTATCACTTGAAGTAAAAAAATTAGGTTGTGGTCCAGAAAAGTCTATTTTTCCTGTGTTTGCAAAAAAATATAGTTGATTAATTAGTCGTCCTCTAACTCTTGGTCTAAAAAACAACTAAGACTTAAAAATAATTGAGTAATATGTAGGCAGCCCCTCCATCTAAAAACATTAGGAGAACTTCTATGATTATAACGGACGAGAAGATGATATATAAGTGGAAAGAAAAATCTTGGTTCTACTTACTATGTTATAAAAATATTTGCCTGCAACATGGTACATACCCTCCAAATTTTATTAAAAGATGATTTAGAAATTTATACAATTTAGTTCAAAATTTCTACAAACAATATCCGCCTTTATATTACCTCATACATATATTACTAGCGAGTTTGAGCTTCCATATCTACCTCCCTTTCACTCTATTTCCCAACCCCACGGCCACACATGGCAATCGCCACAGGACCAAACCGATAAAAAAACTTCTGCTGAAAACAAAATAGGAGGGACTAGCTGCCCTACCTTATATAAAATGACAAACATATCTTATCGAAGGCGAAGACTCATATTTTTATAAATATGTTGTGTCTTTATCAAGTAACCGCAAATCATCAATTGTTGTTTCATGCCTCTCGTCTGTGAGCCTGTTCGGTTTGGCTTGTGCTTATCGTATACGATCGTAAATTTCTAGCCGGAACAGTATTTTTCTCTCACACAAACCAGCCAGCAGTGTTTCTTCATGAACCAGCAACGATATGAACCAGCCAACCGAACAGGCTGTGTTCTGATAGATGACGTTTCCCAATATAAAGGCTTAATGGGCGCTTTTCCCCTTAAATTCGCCGAACCTAAGCATTGTCGTGACATGGAAAAACTGAATTTCGTGCCAAATGCATTAAAATGTACTTTGCATGCAGAGAGACATTGTGTGAATATTTTGCTAGACTTGGGCCTTGTTTAAATTGAGGGTATAAAGTTTTAGGGTGTCACATCGGATGTCACGTGGGATGTGGCATAGAATGTTTGGATACTAATAAAAAAACAAATTACAGAATCCGTCAGTAATCCACGAGACAAATTTATTAAGCCTAATTAATCTAGCATTAGCATTGTGTTACTGTAGCACCACATTGTCAAATCATGAACTAATTAGTCTTAAAAGATTCGTCTCGCAAATTAGTCGTAAACTATGTAATTAGTTATTTTTTAGTCTATATTTAACATTTCATACATGTGTCCAAATATTCGATGTGATAGGAAGTAAACTTTGGGGACTAAACAAGGCTTTGGTTTTGTCTTAGTGTGATGCACTAGCTATGTTATTTTCTTGCAACTTCCTAAGGACCTTTGCTACTGTGTTCTTGGTAAGGACATGGGCTTAGTTTGGTGTCCCTAAGGACTCACCTTGGTTTCCTTTTTCTGATAGTTGCAGAGGTGGTTCATGCCTATGCATGGGTAGAGTAGTTTGATCAGGTTAAGACTTAAGATTTGTTATTTTGATATTTAGAGCCTCAATTCACCCTCTCTTAAGGCCATTCGATCCTTTCACATGGATTAAAATTAGTGCATCAAGTAGAAGGAGACCTTCAATAAAAAATGGCACGAGGAAGCAAAATCGAAGAGGGAGATAGAGGCAGAGGAAGGAGGAGATGTGTTTGAAGAGTGAGCTCTTTGTAAGCATGTGAGGAACATGTATGTGTGTTCACAGGGATGAATGTGTATACGTGTGTGGATGTCTATATTGTATTGTGTAATTTAAAAAAAACATGATGAGCTAGTCTCCTAAATTTTTTAGTTTACCCGTGAGTTTTTTTTCTAAAAAAACCATCCACATATACATGTACCATGGCATGTTATATATTATATTCATATATATCCTATCAACAGTAGTGAGCAGGGTATGGGGGAGGGGGAGCTAAACACCCTCTATGTACAATGAATATCTTTTATGGACATGAAATTTCACCATATAATTTAACAAAAACAATTAAATTATATATTTGATTATTCATTATAAGTACTTGGTTCCCATCATCTCCTTTTTTTAACTCTGCTTTGACCGTGGGTCCTGTTTCTCTTTCTTGCACCACTATACATTGTTGAGAGCTTAATAAGGAAAAGCTAATTGGCGATGGTTAAGCAAAAATATTAAGTGCACGCTCATATTTTAACTAAAAATATGAAGACATTTACCAAATAATACATCAAAATGCCAAAGTAATAGTTTCATTCTTCTCATGTTGGAACTTTGACGTATTTAACTTCCAATCGGGCGAAAACTCCAAACAACAGAGTATAGATGGGAAAATAAAAGACAAGGAGATCAAGTAGCACGTGGGCACGAACTATGCACTAAAATTGGTGAAGGCATTCCAACTGTTGGGCTGTTGGAATGACCAAACTCTAAAAATATGCCAAATTTCAAATGTTATACAACATCATGCCCCTCAATAGAATTTAGTTGGACAAATTTCAAATTGCTACCAGAAATCCGGAACTGCCATTCAAATGATACTCCATTGATAGAGAACCATTGGCAAATGGAAAAATTGATTTCATAGCATCGAAAGATCACGAGATTCGAAAAATACCACCAAAAGAACTCCGTTACGTAAAATACCACTACAAGATGAAACTGTTATATGAAAGTAGCATTCCATCGTATTTGAAGGTAACAGCATCAGCACCGTCGATTCCTGTCCATCTAAACTTCTAAAGGCAAAAAAAAAAAATCCATCTCCCACCTACCCGAGCCGGACATGGATAGAGCTCACACGCGAGCGCGTCCTCCTCCTCAGCTTAGCTCACATGTGCGCCGCCGCCGCCACGACAGAGCTCGCACGTGTGCCTCCGCCGCCCCCGGCTGAACTCCCTCGTGCGCTACCGCTTCCCTGGCAGAGTTTGTGTGTGCGCCACCGTTGCCTCCATGCTGGTCAAGTTTGCGCGCGTGCCGTCACCGCCTCTGCAGAGCTCGCGCGCACGCGTGACTCCGTCGCCCCGGAAGAGCCCCCAGTGCGCCGCCGCCTCCCTGGTAGAGTTTGCGCCTGCGCCACCGTCGCCTCCTGACTGGTCGAGTTTGCGTGCGTGCCACCGCCGCACGGTGCCGCGGGAAGTTGTAGAGTTCTTCCCGGAGGAAGAAGGCTAAGAAGCACGCCGCCGGCCTGACCATGTGCGTAGCTGCAAAGTCGTGTCTGCTCGTGGCCTCGTGCGTCAGATCAGCTAGCTACCTTCCATAGTTCCATGCATGCAAGAAAAGAGCTAGATGTGCCTAGATGCATGTGTACTAGTACTACTGAGAAGGATGAGATCCTTCCCATCGAGTCTGTTGGCGCAGAACTTAGGGCGGAGCCCGGACTGCTACGTACGGCGTCGACTTGCCACCCCGGGTACGGCCAGGAGGACATCGCAGTGCCCGTGGCCTTGATGCCGGGCGCGCGAAGAGGCGCTGGTGCCTGCCGATAAAGGCTGCAGCGAGTCCATAGCCAAGGCACGTCAGCTCTACCGCCTAAGCTACAAGACATTGAAGCCCTCCCCCAGCCAGAGGCTGTGCTGATCCGCCAGGACTCCATCCTACAGTGGATCCACCTACGCCGGAGCTGAGAAAGACGAAGGGGATGGGACTTCCACCGGTGCTCACGTGGAAAGAAGGGAGAAGCAACAGTGGACTCATGTTGTTAGACCAAACCGTGATAGAATAGTAGCTTCGGGTAACAGATCATTCTTTCGGTGGTATTTCACGTGACCGTAATATTTGATTGGTATTTTCTCTCGATTTTGGATGCTATGAAGCCAATTTTTTCTTGGCAAACTTGCAAGTGCAAAATCTATTCTGGTGGAACAATTCAACCTACAACCTGTTCGGATGGCTGGCTGATTTATGGCTGGATCATAGATTATTACTGCGATTGATTTGTTAGGTGTGAGAAAAATACTATCCTAACTAAAAATTTACATCGGCCAACCGAACGGCCGGCCGAACGGCCTGGTAGGCAAAGAGCCACTCGGTCCTGGACTCCTGTCTCCTGGTTCTGACCTGACGTGTAAGAGTGAACGAGACCACGTGTCGATCCACCATTGCTCGTAGACGGCTGTACCACCACTCACTCTCTCTCTCTCTCTCATTTCTTTTCCCGCCTTGCCATCAATAATTGCTCTCGCTCCACCGCGACCTCCCCTCCCCTCTCTCACAACGCCTAGCGATTCCGCCTCTAGAACCTTCCCCCACCTCGCTAAACCCTAGCCCCGGGGCCTTCCGGCTCCGCCGCCGGAGCATGGACGAGCGGCTGCCGCTGCCGAACGTCTTCGGGCTGCTCCTCGACACCAGTGGGCTACATAGCGCGCCCCGTCCTTCTTCCTCCCGCCCCCGCCCCCCAAATCTCTCTGGTCTGATCTCACGCGTTCCGCTTTGCTCTTTTGCGCAGATGATCAGGACCAGTGGCCTCCTGAGGCGACCCTCCTCATCGCGGCATACGACGGCAACGTCCGCCGCCTCAAGGGTAAGCACTAAGCACACGCCTTTTCCTGCCTCGTTCGTCTCATCGCGACTTCGTTCGCGGTCGATTTAGTTAGGGGTGTTCTCCTTCCCTTTTGCCTTGGCGTCCGGAAAAAAAAGCTCACTCTTTTTTTGAGTTTGGGATCCTGTCGCGCGTGCGGCGTGGAATTTGGTTGAGACGAGCGCTCGTGTCTCGGATTTTAGTTGGTTATCAACCGCTTTCTGTCATTATTTCCCCGATTTTCTCACTATACTGCTGTTTCCGATCGTTTCATGCAGAGATAGCGAGGGGCCTGGACGTCAACGGGAGGGGGGTCAACTCGGTGCTACGTCGCACAACCTTCAAGGGCATGGACGCCCTCCACGCCGCGGCTGGTGGGAAGGGCAAGCTACCAATCTGCCGATACCTCGTCGAGGAGGCCAAGATGGACGTCAACAAGCGTGACACCTTTAAAGGTACAAACTAGCTTAGTCCAGACTCCAGAGTCATCCCCACTTTCCTCCTCTCCGATCCCTTCTCCATTAATTGCTCTCTTCAAACCTATAATTAATGCTTAACTGATTAATTAATTAATTTGGTAAGTTTGATCCATTCACGGTTTCTGAATTGGCTTCAGTTGACAAAATTGTGTGCCTTTGTTCGCAGGTAAGAGCATGACACCACTACAGCATGCTGTGTTCAGTGGGAACCTCCCTATCGTGAGGTTTCTTCTTGATCATGGTGCTGATCTCCATCAAGAAGGCAGTCTAGGAGGTCATGACAGATGCACTGCTCTTCATACAGCTGCAGAGAAAGGTATAAACACCAAACGAACTTCACTCATTTATTCTTTCTTCTCTCAGGACATGTGTTGGTTTCCTGTTCAGTCTTTACTGTTACCTTCTTTCTCTTTGTGGTGGATATAAATGGAACATGGGATATTACTTTGGAGAGTCTGTAGTTGAATCTATACACAAACACAACTGCAGACAATGGCATCATATTCAAGAGAAAACTAAGCAAGCTCAAAAATTCTCTACTTCTAATTTTATAGCTTTCTGTTGTGTCTAATGTTGCTATAAACTCAAGCTATCCTGGTTTTATAAACTTTTCGTGCCCAACTGCTATGTCGCGATGTGTTATGTGTAGTATACCATCTTTCAATTTTTTCCCCATTAAACTTTGTTTCCTGCCCTCACATGTAAAATTCATGTGCTTATTACATCTGGAATTGTTGCTGTTAGTCTTTGTGGACCTTGTATTTAGTATATGTTTGTGCCTTTCTGGATCTTCTACCAGGATCAGTTTCATACTTTATTTTGTTTTCAGACAATGAAACTGATAGATTGTCGAAAAGTAATTGTTTCATTTCTTATGAACTGTTGATTGCCATCGAGATTTCCCTGTATGCTCTTCAGTGAAGAGTGAAATAGCAATTTTGTCTTTTTTTTACCTGTTGAAATTTTGTTGCTGAAGATTGGTTTATTGTTATAGTTCTGCAGTCCACTTTACTATGACCTTACTTTTTCACCTGTTTCTTCAGGACGGTGTGAAATAGCAAAACTTCTGCTTTCTAGGGGAGCTTACGTTGATGGCAAATCATGCCATATGACACCACTACAGCTTGCGGTTCATGGAGGGCATGATAGTACTCTGAAGATTTTGTTGGACCACAATGCAGATGTACTAGTTATATCTTTTTATTTTAATCTATTCATAGATGAGCTGAGTTCTCTATTTTACCGTTAACACACTGGTGCTTGATATTCCATAATTTTGTTCCTACTTCCTACCTTTACGTGCTTAGTTCCTCGTAGCTGTTGATGTGTGACCACTTGGGCATATGTGAGCAGTGGCCCCACACAACAACAGTTCCTGAGAAATCAAAGGGAACACATATATCAGCTATACTAAAAAAACGGTTTTCGTGATCTATTCTATACTGTTTAATTTACCTTCTGTTTTCCTACATAGCCCAACAAGGAAGTAAATCTGTCAACACCTTTGACCATAGCATTGCGCACTCCTTCCTTGTCTTGTCTGAAGCTATTGATTCAGGTATAGTATTTTCTACTATGAGTTTTGTGTTATATTTATGAACTGTCAAGTTATATATGGAGAAAACATCTCATCTTTGATACATAAACTGGTAGGCTGGAGCTGAAGTGAATGGCATTGGTAATCCTTTGGCAAGGGCTGCGCAGGAAGGCTTAACCGAAGCTATCAAGTGCTTGTTTGAGGCTGGTGCAAACCCCAACACTACTGACTGGGTGAGCCTTCTCTCTTGTTCACACTATCACTTGTGAGCTGCTTAACATCAAATAGTTCTGGTCGTACTGCCTTTTAACACTATTTATATAACATAGCTCCTGTCTCCTGAAAAAAATGCTCATTAGAAGTCTGTTCATGAAGGAAAATTGAAAGTGGCATAGAAGTCTGTTGGCTTCCAAAAGAAAAAGGGCATTAGTTTTGAACATCTGAGCACCAATTGAGTCACTGATCTGATTTAGGCGCACTTTCAACATTTTTCACCTTTTACGAGTAGGTTCATGACACTGGCTCGATATAGATGCTCACAGTTTACAGTACTCTAGTTCTGTAGCGGTTTAGATGCTCACAGTTTACAGTACTCTAGTTCTGTAGCGGTTTAGATGGTTGCCATTCAGGGTATTGCACGTTGTTTCGTTATTCAATTATATATATCTATATCGATACAATTTGGGTCTACTGTTTCCCTCAAACATCTGGATACACATGGTCTACTGTGTTAAAACTAGTGAAAGTATCATCAATTATCTTCACATACAAGCTTGTGAAACTTTGCCCATCCCCATCCCTTGCTATGCACAGTTTATTGGTCTGGATCTATGAATAGTTATAACCTATAGCACTGCTTTGGCCCATTTTGTTGGTTTGGGATCAAGGAAGTTTTGGGGTAGACAAGAATTACTCATCACAATATGGACAAGTGATTTTATTAGGCATCTATTTTGTGGTATTACATTGTTTCATTAAGCCTCTGAGGGAGCATAATTATCCTGCAATCAGTATTTTTTTTCTTGGAAGTGTCCATTTGTCCTTTCTTTTACATTAAATTTATTGTTTGTCATGCTCTCCACAGTATGGTAGATTTCCAATAGAGTTGGCTGCCGTGTATGGTACAAGGGAAGATGTTGAGATTCTGTTTCCTTGCACTTCCCCAATTCCAACTGTGACAAACTGGAGCATTGATGGAATAATCAATCATATGGAACTGGAAAGAAAGCAACGAGAGGTATGCCACTGTGGCAAATCATCTTGTTCATTCACTTGGCTGTGCAAATAATTTCATTCACTTGAAAAGAAACCAAAGGGTAGCTTCTGCTTGCTCCTTTTCTCTGTAAGCACTCCTAGAGATGCCAAATGCTAGTGTGCCTGCATATTTGCATTGATGCCAAAGCTCTCGATCTGTAGATTTCTTCTAGAAAACTTGTTTAATTTAAATGCTTTCTCGAATACCTTGTATTGTTGGATTGTTCAGAAGTTTGATTCTATTAAAGAGAATAGGTAACCAGTTCAATTTCCTAGATAAAATATACTTTAGAAGTAGGCTATGTCAGTAATCCACTAATTTCCATGTTTAATTGTCATGTACTGACTACTTTCAGTTACAAAAAGTACTAGTAAACTTTGGAAAGGACATGTTATTTTACTTGTCGTGTACTGTGTTAATTTACAGTTATTTTTCATTAAGATTACAGAAACTGGTCATGGGAAGAACTTTACACCTAGACTAGTACCAGTTGCCTGTTTTCCACGAAAATTTGGAAAGATCAGTGGTTACCAGTTAAGGTTTTTGAAAAAAAAAATCTGTAGAAAAAGAAGTCCATAGCCGTTCAACCATTAAATCTCAATGGCCGTTAGCATGTGTTTGCAACCAGTAAGTCTGGACGCAGATTTCTCGAGATCGATGACATGCCTAGTTTTTATATACCTCATACGTACGGGGATTTCTGAGACTCCTTTGAATCTTTTTCTAGGTTACAGGTTTGCTTATAATATGCTAGATTTGTCTGATTCAAATTATTGTAAAATGTTTAGGATGATGATTTTGTTGAAGCAAGGAAGTCTGATCTGAAAAGACAGGGTGGTGATGCATTTAAAAAGAAAGATTATATAAATTCCTCAGCATTCTACACACAGGTATGTTGTATTAAAAATGTATTGACATCAGCAGGGTGAAAAAATGTAAAAATGTTGAATTTGAATGGTTAGTGTCATCATCTCCTTGCATACATCTGAGCGTGTTGATTGCAGACTTTTATTACCTAGAGCTTTCAGTAAGAAATGAGTAAAACTATGGACTTCCTATAATGCTTGAGAGTAAAGAAACCAAGCAATAGCTTGGTCAGTAGAGTCTCTATTTGAGAGGCTGTGCGCCCGGCTTGAACCTGATGGTTGCAGGTCCTTTCCTAAATGAGTAAAGGTGTTCATTCCTCTCTTCAGAAAGCCAGGGGACACTTGGTTAAGTTTATGCTGCTTGAAAGTAACGATATCTATTCATTAACTTCATTTTGATGGTAGAACAAGATGGGTGTGTGTTATGGTAGTGGATGGCTATTCAGTTGTATGCTTTTTTTTTCTCTTTCACAAATTGATTTTCCTAATTGTATTAGTCCTGCATTTACAAAACTAAATCCCTAAAATATCATTTTTTGGTTAATCATCAGCATATTTTTTCTGAGTAACCTATGTCCTGATACATGGCAAACATCAAAGTATGTCTCTAGGAATTGCATTTGTTTGCAAAACATGTTTTTTTCCTAGAACACGCAGGAGAGTTGCGCATCTTTATATTAAGAAAAAAAATGGGGTCACACACCTCCAACACACTTAGGTTTGCAAAACATGGTTCAACTGATTGCATTTGTTTTCCTACATATTTCGTGGTCTAATAGTATGGAGTAGTAAAATATTCTGATATGGAAACCAGCAATTAATTTTGCTTGGACAGGCCCTTTGGTTTGGTACTGTTAGTCATGTAATCCTTTGAGTTAAGTTGAGGTCGTGAGGAGGAAGTCGAGTGATACTGATATTCTGGATGGTCTCTCTCATCTATTTTCAAGGAGATATTTCTATGTTTAAAAAAAAAGAGATATTTCTGCATGAGAATTACTGTTTGATCCACAATTTTTGTTTCAACCTTGTTTTACCTAAGAAATAAATGAGGAATCTCTGGGCTAATGTATGCAACACATCTGGAATGTGGCAACAGTGATATACTGACACATTTTTATCTTACTGCAGGCAGTGAAGGTAGATCCTTATGATGCTGGATTGTTCTCAAGCAGGAGTCTTTGCTGGCTCCGCACAGGTGATGGGAAAAGGGCTTTGCAAGATGCAGTTAGATGCAAAATGCTGAGTCCAAAGTGGGCAAAGGCCTACCACCGCCAAGGACAAGCTCTGATCCTTCTAAAGGTGCGACTAAAAACCCAGGGTGTAGCTCTAGTAGTATGTAACTGGATTTGACACTTCATCATCTCTTTAATCTCTCGTATATTAACTGGTCATGCACTGTCAATTGTATTCCTTAGGAGTATGAAAAAGCTTGTGACACACTCTCTGAAGGCTTAGAACTGGACCCTATGTCTGATGAGCTCGATAAATTATATTGGTAAGAGACCAGTCCATTGCTTCCTATGTTTCATTCCAGTTACTGTAGAAGGATTGCTGTAGCTAGCACTGTGTTGTTTATTTGGTTGCTATCTATTCTTTGGAGTTTCCCACTAACTGTCAAACCTTGTAGGGAGGCAATGGAACTGAAGAATGGCAGCACTGGAGCAGCTTAGAAAAAGCCTGCAAGAAAATTGGATCGCCGTTTCCCTTTTTGGTTGATGTTCTTGGGAATACGAAGAAACACTCAGTAGTCTGTAGTTTTGCTGGTTGTACTGTATTCAGCACATCAGCATTTGCCTGTACTTTGAATTGGTGGCTCTCTGCTTGGAGTCCTTTCTGAGGTTGGGAGAAGCGTGTGATACCTGGAGAATAGCTTAGCTTAGATCGAGGTACTGGTTTCAAGTAACTTTTACATGCTACCTGAGTGGCATACGCACACTGTTTTGGCCATTTGCGTGCTTGAAGCACGGCACGACCACAGCTGTGAATCGTTTTTCTGGGCGGCAGACCTGCATTATCCATGCTTGAATAGTATTTTTTGTTTGTTATTACAAATTATAATTTACTTTACTCGAACTTTACTAACTTTGACATATATTGACATATACAAGTTTGAATAAATGCACTATCAATATATTTTTATAGAAAATTTAATGAAACTAATATAATACTTTAGATTTTTTTTCTGTAGAACTTAGTTTAAGTTAGAGAAGTTTAACTTAAAACAAAGTTAAGATGAACTATAGTATAATTTATGGGCTAGTTCATCTAAATGCGTTGTCGAACGGCATCACATATTTCGTCGGTGACTTTCTCGAGCTATGGTTGGGCGATGTTGCCTAAAATTCTCACTTCTCAGGCGTTCAATGCTGGTTTCGCTACCATTTCTTCCCTCTTGTCTGCTACGCTCGTCCAGGTAGCAGCTGCAGTGGCTTGAATACGCAGTACGCTTGGTTCCTTCCTAGCCCTAGCACGATTCGGCGAGTGGCAGAGCAGGAGCTGCTGGTCTTGGCAACGCTTTCGCTCAATGTTGGCTCTCCTTGGATCCATGGCTCTCTTCGAGCAGCCACAGTGTATGAAAAAAAAAATGATGCTTCGGAAAGAAAGAGAAGATTGGAGGCTTGGAGCATTATCGGTTGGCACATTGCAAGGGCGATGCTTGGATAGAAAGAAGCTAGCATCGACGCTTGTTGAATCACCGATGTGGTTGAAAAAAGAAACAGTTTTATTTTTGTTGTAGTTTATAGTCAGTCCAGTGGCTGCCGCGAACTGATCCAGCAAGCTCTTGAGGGCAGCAACAGTCGCACGGGTCACCACGGACAACAATCAACAGTGTCGTCCGCGTATTGGAGTACCGAAGGAGGCTGGGCCAAGTGGTCCTTTTCAAAAAACAAAAAACAAGGGTCATCTTCTGCAATTGGATGTCTGACAGAAGAAATGGTTTAATAGCCTGTAAGTGTCGTCCGCGTATTGGAGTACCGAAGGAGGCTGGGCCAAGTGGTCCTTTTCAAAAAACAAAAAACAAGGGTCATCTTCTGCAATTGGATGTCTGACAGAAGGAATGGTTTAAATTAACACAGTTCAAAAAACAAAAGAATGGTTTGAATTAGATGCTGAAGAGTATCTCTTCCACAATGAGGAATAAGTATGGTGAAAGAGGGTCGCCTTGGCGCAAATCCCTTTTGCAGTTCATCCAAGGACCTGGGCACCCGTTAACTAAAACTGCAGATTTGGAAGATGATAGCGAATGTTGAATCCAAGCACGCCACCGTTGATCAAAGCCCCGAGCTTCCAAGATCTTCGCCAGGCCTGTCCAATTAACCGTGTCAGAAGGCTTTTTGCAAAATATAACGTGATGATCAGGGTCGGTGCCTTCACCTTCTTGCAATATTGAGTCAGTTCTACCGTATTTAAGTTGCAGTGACAAACTATATATATACAACTCTATTCATCTATTCCTAATACAGCTGCCCTGCTGCAACAGTGACTAGATAACATAGCAGGACTGACTTCTGCGCCTGCCCTGCCGTGGCTACAGTGAGGCAGGTGAGCTGTTCGGCGCCTGCCCCTGCAGCGGCTATAGTACCACAGCAGGGGGCCTCTTCGGCGCCGCCTTCCCTTGCTGTGTGTTCACACAAGGAGGAGGTGCGCAACCGAGCTTGGGTTCACGAGGTGTGCAACCGAGCACGCACTCTATACGCGGCGATGGGGGAAGGAGGAGTTTGTCATCGGCGTGTACGTGGACGATTTGATTGTCACTGGCGTGTGCGCGGAGGACATCGATAGCTTCAAGTGCGAGATGGCGGCTCGTTTTCAAATGAGCGATCTCGGCGCACTCTTCTACTACCTCGGCATCGAGGTGAGACAGGGGAAAGAGGAACTCACGCTCGGTCAGAGCGCGTATGCCTCGAAGCTGTTGGAGCGGAGCGGCATGGCTGAGTGCAAGCCATGCGTGACTCTGATGGAGGAGCGGCTGAAGCTAACGAAGGCCAGCACCGCGGCGAAGGTGGATGCAATACTCTATCGGAGCATCGTCGGCGGTCTGCGCTACCTAGTCCACACGAGGCCGGATATTGCGTTCGTCGTGGGCTACGTCAGTCGCTTCATGGAGGATCCCAGAGAGGATCACTGGGCTGCGGTGAAGCGGCTACTGCGTTACGTCAAGGGGACGGTGGATCAGGGGATCATCTTTCCCAAGACCAGCATGAGTAGGCTGCAGCTCACTGTGTTTAGCGATGCAAACATGGCAGAGGACATCGACGGACGACGGAGCACCTCTAGCGTGCTCGTCTTCCTCGGGTCGGCTCCAATTTCATGGTTGTCGCTGAAACAGAAGGTGGTGACGCTATCTACGTACGAGGCATAGTACGTAGCGGCGGCCACAGCGGCGTGCCAAGTTGTGTGGCTACACCGGCTGCTGGGTGAGCTGACCGGTGCGGAAGCTCACCCACTAGCACTGATGGTGGACAACCAGCCCGCCATCGCCCTTGCAAAGAATCCGGTTCTCCACGACTAGAGCAAGCACATCAACGTGAAGTTCCACTACCTCAGGGACTGTGTCAATGAAGGGCAGATCATCATCGAGTTCGTCGAAACTGGTTGGCAACTCGCGGACATCCTCACCAAGCCGCTGGGACGTCTTCGACTCATGGAGCTGAAGGAGATGATCGGCACGGAGGGGTACAAGGGATAGCAGTAGGATTAGGGAAAAAATTATGAGATAATCTACTGCTTCCTTGTGTGAACACACAGCAAGGGAAGGCGGCGTCGAAAAGGCCCCCTGTTGTGGTACTGTAGCCACTGTAGAGACAGGCGCCGAACGGCTTACCTGCCTCACTATAGCTACGGTAGGGACAGGCGCAGAAGTCAGTCCTGCTATGTTATCTAGTCACTGTTGTAGCAGGACAGCTGTACTAGGACTAAATGAGTAGAGTTGTATATATAGTTTGTCACTGCAACTCAACAAAGAGAGTTCAGATTTGTCATCTCCTATACAGGGCTCCGACCAACGCTGGTGTCTCTGCCGTGTGTGGATGCTATGTTCTCCCTCTTCTTCTACCTCTGACCATAGTGTGTGGTCGGACAGCGTTTGTCGTGCTCGGCCATGGTCAACAACACTGGTGAGTGGTCGACTCACCTGAGCCAGTGATCCTGTGGGATAACAATCGTGTTCCTAGTGGTTGCCATCATTTTCAAGACCAAGTGATGGCTAGGATCTGTAGGTGGCAATGGGGGGCTGGGATTTTGCTGCTGTGGCAAGGGGTAAAAGTAGTTTTAGTAGTGCTGATGAGTTAGGAGTGGACATGAGTGATGGATGAACTTGGTTTGTGGTAACCTGTCAGGCTACGATCCTAATCTTTTGATTGTGCCCATGTCAGAGTGTGGCAACTGAATGGTGCACTTACTTGTACAGCGTACTGTCACTAAATGTGTTAGCTAGTGTGGCAACTGAACCAGGTCAAGTTAGCAGTTGTGCTTAGGATAGCACCGATGACATGCCATCAGGTTGGTTCTTTTGATTGTGCCCAATTCGTAAAGATTGGTGCACTGATGTAATTAAGTCAGTACTATGTCATGGATGGTTAGTATTGCAAATGAGTAATTTAGAACTGAAATGCATAGTAATGTTTACATCTTCATGGTTCACATTACATTGTGTTCTACTAAACCCAAATACAGTGCATGTTCTTAACTGATAACATCACAGTACAGCCTGGATCACTACCACTACAAACAGGAGTACAAGGACAAAATCCTTAGCAGTCATGCCTCCCATTTTCTTGTTCTGAACTTTGGCAAGTTCTTCTTTGTAACACCCTAAATTTTGCCTCTTTTGAAAATAGGTTTAAAATAATTTAATTATGTATTTTTGTGCTTATGAAATATAGAAAAATAAAATTTTCATTAAATTAAAATTTATCATAAGATAGCAACGTGTTTGTGCATATATGCCCTTGCATTTGATGTATTTGATTGAGTGGTTTTTGTTGAAAATTCAAAATGGTTTAAATTGCTTTTGCAAAAGAAATTAAAAATGGTTTTGAAATGAAAGAAAAGAAAATTTGAAAATAAAAGGATTTAAAAAGGTGTAAATTTTTTTTTTGAAAACTTAGCAAAATTTCTCATTTATGTTTGAATTAAAAAAAGTGTATTTGAAATCCTATTCAAATTTGATTTGGTTTACATTTGAATTGGTTTTGAAAATAAAATAGAAAAGGAAAATTCTCATTTCTCTATTTAGGTCCGAAGGTCTGCTTCTCTTGCTCCCTCGTAGCCCAGCGGCCGGCCTGCCCTGGACTGCCCTCTCCTCTCCCTCTCTATCCCGCGTGGGCTGCCTGTTATCTCTTCTCTTGCGCGGCCCGAGCAGCAGCCCATCTCGCCTTTGGCCGCAGCCCGCTCCCGCCTCCAGCTCCCTTTGGCCCAGCGCACCGGCCCAGGCCGAAGCCAGTCTGCAGCCTAGCTCAGCAGCCAGTTGCACTGCGCATCCCCTCCCTCTTCTCTCTCGCCTAACGCTGACAACCCAGGCCCGCATGGCAGGACTTTCCTCTTCCTCCAGCTCGAGTCCGAGCCGGCCACGACGCCGCCCGAGACTCCGCGCTTGCCCCACCCCGCGTCGTTGCCGTGCACGCCAAGCTGCCCGGCCCTTAAATAGAGAGCCTCCGCGCCCGTGCCA